AGTAATGTTTTGCTCATTTGAGATAAACGTACTTCCAGGAAAACGAACACTGCCACGGCTCTATTTTGTTTTTCTACACACAACTGTGCCCTCTAGTGGAACTGGCTGTTTCACTGCATACTCTTTAAATCAGCACTTCATTTGAGCCGCGCTCCTCAGAAGAAGTTTTGACCACTGTTTTCTGACAGGAAGATGTTGTATTAACTTCAAAGAATTTAACTGCAGAATAGAACACACAGTTTCAGTCCCCACTTGAAAGCTCACTGGTGGAAAAACAGTCATAGCACACAATCTTATTACTCAGTCTCATATCTGGCAGGCTTCAAGCAGCAGCACAGTTAATATTTGGTCTTCAGCTGTCTCACTGACAACAGCAGCACTGAGGATGTCATGGCCTTGACTGACTACTAAGAAAGCAAAAAGAGAGAAGACTAGGAATGAAGTGAAAGAAGAAAAGGGGATGTGGGGAAAGGAAAGATGGCAGACAGACCATCCTGCATAGATTTCAAGTTCTGTTAAGTGGTAACAGCAAAAATTTTGCATCCAGTTTCACAACTAAATGCAGCTATGACAGAAGAATAAAAAATATGAAGTCATCCCATTCAATCTGGGTGTATTTCAGGATAAGAGCTGTGCTGTTGAAGATAGTCACTCCTTTCAGGATGTGTTTTACCATGGCATCTTCATAGTTACATATAGCTACGGGTTGCCTCCTTTAATCATTGTCTTACTGTGGGATACCACACATACAAACTTTTACTCTTCACTTCAAAAATCCCATAGTCTTCAAAAATCCCATAGAAAAAATATTAAACATGTATCTTCTTTCATGCTGTCAGAAAGATGTCCACAAAAATGTTAACATCTAAAAGTGTCTTTGAAGCTTTATAAACCAGGAGATCAAGTCCCACGGCTGTTCTTTCTGTGAGAGATGCTCTCTCAAATGTTTTGGGTATGTGGGACAGTATGTGAATGGCACTGCTCCATATTCATAAGCGTATACACTGAGGCAATGTCACTAAACATAGTTTAGCTCTTTGTTACCTATCTTTGGCTGATGCAAAAAGTAGCCAAATGGCTCATACAAAGCCACTTATGAAGAACTGATTTGCCTTATCACTACAGCTCTGCTCGCTGATCACCACACTGTGACCCTGGCTACCACCTCCAAACATGACCTTGACCTGAGAACGGAATTTCTGGCTTGATCTCAGCTCTGCCCCCATCACCTTGAGGTTTCCTGATGATCTGGACTCTCGGCTGAATCTCACTACCATCTCTGGACCTGTTCACCCCAATTGGGCACTGTGTGTCTGAACCCAGGCTGAGTGATTTCCCTCATCTTCTGTCCCTTACAGAGCAGCTGGCCCCCACTTCTCCTTGAGACCTTGAACCATTCACAGCTGCTTGCAAAGCATGGTTATGAGGCTTTGATGTGGGAAAAGGAACCTGGATTCAAATTTATGATAGGCTATTAGGTGCAAACAATATTGTACCTTTACCAAATAGGCCAGCATTCAAAGATTCACAGGTGAAAGAACATATATAACATACATTTGTATCTCTGTCCTTCACATTGCAACTGTTTAAACTGACAGTCAGAGTTACTTATTAAATTAGTAACTAACATAATTTACTTAGGTAAAATGTAAGTAAGTTACATAAAATGCTTTTTGGATTGTCCATCAGAAGGACTTCATGTTCTTCAGATAGCTAAAGATAGGGACCAGGAAGGCCTGGAAAAATGTGGAAACATGCAAAGAACTAGGGCTGACTTTGGTCTCCTTAAGCTGTTATAAAAATGCAGCCTTACTTGCGTCTCAAAGAGCTGCTAATCTAAAAAAGGACCCTCTGTTCCCCCTTGGGTTATCTAGTTAAACGCATTTCTTCGCTTTTTGCTTTACATATTTGTTGCTTCCCACTTACATCACTGTTCTTTACATATATGCAAAGCACAGAAAGCTTATGCTTTTGTTGCAGAAACCTGTAAAGCCATGCAGAATACTTACACAAAATTTTACCTGTATTAATACCAGGAAAGCAAGTGAATAAAATAGCAAAATCACTTTCAAATTCGAGTCTTACTATCAAATAATCACCTGCTAAATAATCATTAAATTAACAGAACAGCTCATTGATATTAACAAGTTATTTAGGATTAATTTTATCTGCATAAAACTAGATCCAAATTAATTTCATGCAGAATTGTGTTGAAAGTTATGTATTTGTTTCAGAAGCTTGCATTGCTGTCCAAAAAAATAAATAAAAATATAAAAACAAAAAAATCGATGTGCCCAGCTAATGAGGAGTTATCATGACATATGAGCACAATTTTTGAAATTCAATGCTCTTGTACATCAATTAATTTGTATTATTAAGTAATCTCATATAGGGCTCAGAATGAAGCCATGCAATTCCATCCCATGCAATGACGATGGGAATGCTAGAGCTCCTCACTTTCTGGATTAAATGAAGAATGTTCAGAGCATAGCAGTATGAATAAGAAGTTTAGAATGTGACTACAAGAAGAAATAAAGGAACTGGGCTTACTCAACTTTTAAAGAAAAAAAAAATAGAAATTAAGTTAAGCATGGGACCTGATAACGTTAGAGAGGTGGCAGGACTGTAGACACTCCTTTATTTTACATTCCTAAGAACCTGTAAAACAAAACTCTACATGGGATACAATTTACTGCCCTTGAGTATCTGCTTTTACAAGCCTCCTCTGTTCTTGCATTTCCAGGATTACTGTGACTGTTAGAACTAAGTTGACACATTTCTTTTCCCAAATTTTAGGCAGCAATGGCAATGAATTTGCAGTAGGACAGCTGTTTCTGCATAGCTTCTTTTTAACAAAAGAAGCACAGGCGTTTAGAAATATTTACTGTGAATTAAAAGAGCAACAGTGGTTGAAAAACTCACAACAAAAATGAAAATATACAACACTGAAGAAGTTCAAATTTCTCAAAGGAAAGGTGAAAATTAAGGATTAAAATCCCCGTTTCCTGAAAACTTACATTCCCACAACTTTTATATTACCTAAGGTCAGATCACAGAGCTTCTGCCAGCATTTGTAATTCCTGTCTGCAAATACATCAAACTTGCTGATTCAAGTCCTTCTTCTCTTAGTATTAAGAACTATGCAGGGAATGAGAAAGTTCGCACTTTCAAACACTGTTGTTGGCCTAAGCAAAATGAAAACAGTGTATAAACGTCATATGCTTTGCTACAGATCTTCATATGCTGTCTGCCATGAAAGCAACCTTTCTGACCTCAAGATGAGCTACACAAATGCCAGTACGTGTTGTGACTAACCCTGTCAACCAGTCATCCTTCTCTTAGAAGATATTTAGCTCTTACCCTGTACTAAGGCCACAGAGCAACTCTGCTTTTCAACAAGCCACTTCAGAAACAGTCTACAGATCTCATTGCTCTAACAGCACACAAGTGGAGGATGAAAGGGATTAAGGTGTCAATTTTCCAGTTGATTGAGTGTACCTAAGGGCCATTATGACCCATACAGTATCTAATGACGCACACAACAGTCCCTGTCTGCATATGTTCTACCTGTAAGAAATTACCTCAGTGCTCTCTACTGCCTTAAAATTTCTGAACTTTTAAACAAAATTTAATGGGTTAATAAATACAATGTTTTCACTTGAAAATCCCAGTCAATTTTATTCTTAAAAATAGATCTCAATTCAGTGAAAATTTGAGAATCAAAAGATTCATCTAATTCCTGTGTCTTCAAATACTAGCTGAAAACATACATGGTGGGAGGCCATCTTCGTATTACTGTCAGTAGCTCTGAAATGATCTGATTCCTTCTAAGCTGTCTTTGGATTCATTACACCTCTGGAAACAGCTGTTATTTGAATATATAATTTTGAGAAGCTTAATGAAAACCTTTAATTGTGTCATTTACTATTTGTAATAACTAGAGGACTATGTTTTTGTGTTCATGCGTTTTGGGGGGGATGTCTCTCACTCTTCTTAAGAATCACTAACACCTATATAAAGTATTACAGAATCACAGGGGTTGGAAGGGACCTGCCAACCAGGGATGGTCTGGATACCATGGAGTCCAACCCACCTGCTAAAGCAGTTTCTCTACAGCAGGTCACACAGGAAAGTGCTCAGGAAGGTTTTGAATATCTCCAGAGAGACTTCACAACCTCTCTGGGCAGCCTGCTCCCTCACAGTTCCCTCTGTCACCCTCACACTAAAGAATTGCTTCCTCATGATTGTTGGAACTTCTCATGTTGCAGATTTTTGCCTTTTGCTCCTTATCCTTTGCTAGAAACCACTGGAAAGAACCTGGCCTCATCCACTCAACTGTCACACATCGGGTACTTACAAGCATTGATGAGATCCCCCTCAATCTCCTCTTGTCCGGGCTGAACAGACCCAGGTCTCTCAGCCTTTCCTTGTAACGGAGATGCTCCAGGCACCCAGTTGTATTAGTGGCTTTCTGCTGGACTCTCCCTAGAAGTTCCCTGCCTTGAACTGGAGAGCCCACAGCTGCACACAGGAGCCCAGTTGTGGCCTCACCAGGGCAGAATGAAGGGATCACCTCCTGGACCTGCTGCTCATGTTATTTTTAATGCGCCCTCAGATACCATCTGCCTTCTGGGCCACCATGTCACACACGGCCAAGCTATCATCCACCAGGACACCCAGCAGCCTGTGGGAGACCCGAGAATTTCACTTTCCAGGCTTTTAAGACTTTGTTGCAAAGGAGGATTCCCTGAGATCACGCCTACCACAGAGTCACCGATGACGGTGACGTTACGGTAAGGGGCTGGAACTACTCAAGCGCTGACTGCGCGTTTTACAAAACCTCGAGCTGCATCTCGAGAGATCTGAACGCTCCCCATAGCCCTTCCCCGCTCCGCCCCGCACCTCCCCCATGTCAGCAACAGAGGGTCGGGCTTCCGCTGGGGGCGGGCCGGCAGAGAGGCGTCGCGGGATGGGGGTGGAGGCTGAGGGAGGCTCCGCCTCGTCTCGCCTCCAGCACGCCCCGCTCCGGCAGCCGTCACGGGAGGAGGCCGGGACGATGCTGGAAACGCTGCGGGAGCGGTTGTTGAGCGTCCAGCAGGACTTCACGTCGGGGTGGGTCGCGCCGCCTGGGCCGTGGGGGCGGCAGGGGATCGGTAGTGAGAGCCGAGCAGGACGCGGCGGGGGGGGAGAGCGGGTGACCGGGTGCTGAGTAGGGGAGCGGGACGGAGGAAGAGGAGGAGAGCGCGGAGGCGGGGCCGCGGCCTTCCCTCCTCCAGCGAGGGCGAGGGGCCGGGGCTGCGGTGCCTGACTGCCGCTGGTGGGCCGGGAGCCGAGGGACAGGGGCTCCGAGGGGATGGGAAGGCAGCGGCGGGCCGGGGCTGGAGGAGAGGAATAGACCGCTGCTTGGAGAGAGGGCAAAGATATGCCTGGGATCGATGGACGAGCCTGAATGTTTTATGAGGCGGCTGACCTCCGGGTCAGAATTAACGTAATTGTGATCCGGCGGCTGAAAAGCTTCTCTTTTCCTTGAAAGACGGGAGTTGCTGTCACGTGAGGGAAAGGAGCGCAGGATGAGTGGAAGCAGTGTGCGTTACGAAGTACAACACACCGCCCTGTGCTCCCTCACCAGCTCTTTTTAGGGTAGACTCCGTGTTGTTGTGGTTTAACCTGGCAGCATCCAAATGCTGCACAACCTCCCCACCCCCCCCCCCTCCTTTTCTTTTATAAATGGTGTCATTCACATGGTGAAACGATCTGATGGTCGTTTAACTTCGTCTGGCATCTGTTACTGCAGAGAGCCAGTATGTTTTCGTGTGCTCTCTAATTTGCCTCCTTCCTTGCGTTGCCTTGTTTTGATCTGCTTTGGGGGCAGCTTTTATCATTTCCATCTTTGTGTTTCAGGAGCTCCGTTAATGGTCTTTCTCAGGGTGACCCCTTTTTAGTGCATTTTTATTGCCATAAAGGGCATCTTGGAGACCTGGTAGCCAGAGGTTGTGGAAAGCATTGGTCTTTCTCCCATATTGCCACCAGAACGTGAATTGTCCTTCTTTGCACCCCCATTTCCCTCACTAGATGATGCAATCTCAAAGCCATCATGTTTTGAGTTATTCTCTGAAGTAGCAGTAAAAGCGACTGACTTGTTAACTGTACATGAATGCAGTTGGAGCAGTTGGATCTTCTGTACCATCTTTTCCAGGGCTTCTAAGGAGAGTATCTGTTCCAAAGGAATAAGGGAGCACTTATTTACAGCTGAAAAACACCAATGTAGGGGTCATGTAGCTTGCAGAAGGAGCAGTTTGAAGTTGTTAGCCAACTTACGAAAAAAATAAGTTCTCATTCCCCTGCTCAGATGTGTCTCCTATCCATGTCTGTGTCTCCTGTGAGTGAGGTGTCTAGATTTTGACCCATTTAACTGCAAGCAATCTTTTACAGAAGGAGAAGGAAAAAAAAAAGAGGCAAGCTGTCTTTGTGCTCAGGCAGCAATTTGTATGCTTCCATCAGACTGACGAGTGCTGTGGTTCACACTGCCTGTACTTTGTACAGAGAGCATTGCTGAAAGGAAGTCAGTGTTATGAAGCCTGGCGATGCATCCTTTAACCTTTACTTCTGACTGCATGACACATATCCTAATAAAAGAACTGGCAATTGTGAGCCAGCATTTTGTTCAATCCCTGCATGCAGCAGAGTGCTGCTTTTACAGGCAGAGGTGCACAATGGGGAATGTGGTTGGAGAGAAGGGCAAATTGCAGTGCCTTCTGGAACAGTGTTCCTCAGAGTGCTGCGCTTGTTGCCACTCGGTTGACTGTTAAGAGCAGCTCTCAGAGAGTGCAGACCTGCCTTAATATGTCATCTTTTAGATAGTCAACTGGTTCCTAGAAGGTGGTGAAGACTGTGGGAGTTGAACTTATTCTGGGTTATCTTTGCATCAGGGGTGTTGCTCAGGCACTGGGTAGCTCAGAATCATGTGTCTCTGTGTAGTGGCTAGAGCAGATCCTTGGAGCTCATGGGTCATTTCATTTTGCTCTTATTTGTGTCCTTTATTTCTTCCTATCTCTTGTTGTTCCAGTCAGCTGGGATGCCAGAGGACATCCATCATCTTGATGGGCAGAGAACAAGCAGGTTTTTGTTCCACACTCTCTCGTGATAGCCTAGCAAACACATACAGGTTGACTGAAAAATGAAAGTGCAAAGAGCTGTGTGGTAGTAGTGGAGGGCTTTGTTTTGTTATTTGTTTGTTGGTATTTTTTATTTATTAGGGCAGAAAGGGGGAATATTTGTTCTTGTTTATTTATTTTTTTCTTGGTTTTGTTGTTTTAAAGAAGCAAGATACCAGTCACTTTGAAACTGGCCATAGATGAAACAAACCTAACTTTTGCCTAGTTAGCAGTGCACTGTGGTAGCTGGCAGATGAAAAGTACTCATACTACTCTTCTGTTGACAGAGTTATGGCAAGTGGGTGCAAATGTGCAATATGACTGTCATACTTGTCCTCAACACATGTGAATTCTTATAGGGGAACCTATAACCTTCAGCATGGTTTGGCTATTTGTATGCAGAGGTGTACTTGTTTTCTAAGGGAAGTAGTTGAAGTATCCAGAGCTGAATGACTTGAATATGTAGCTCCTGATAAACTTTTTTTTGTCCCCAGTTACTCAGTGCATTTGTAGAAAAAGCTTACTGTTCAGAATCAGTGTAGGTGGCAATAATTATATATCACAGTCTCTGCAGAATCAAGTGAAATTGGGTTCATTTCTGAAATAAGCTGATATAAAATCAAATGTAATAGACTGGAATTAGCGTGTTATGTGTTCAGACAAGTTGTTCTCAGTTGGAAACATCTAATACTTACATGTTTTGATTTATAGGTTGAAGACTTTGGGCGATAAATCAAGAGAAGCAAAAAAAAGCAGACAGAGGTACTTATGTGCACCTTAATGTATAGCATTAATCCCAGGTGTTATTGTTAAAGAAAAATATAAAAAGGGCTCTTATAGTGCATTTACAACAACATTTATATTGAATTTTGCAGAATCTTATTTTAGTAACAGAAAATATTCTCATTTTGATTATATACTTGGCTTAATAGAACTTGGATATGCCTAAATTTTTGATTGTAATACTCTGCAAAAGATTCAGGTTGCAGTAAACAGATGTGATTTTCTACAGTCTCTGTGAGTTTCATGTACTAAAATTGTAATTTTTTTAGTGTAAAAACAAAAATGAACCATTTATTGTACAAAATGTATGTAGAACAGGAACACAGAAAGTGGAAGCACCATCTCTACTGCAAGAACCTTTAAGAATCATGGCTGGTTTTTATCCTCTGCACTTTAGTATGTTGTTTCAACCTATGTAAACTATAGGGGAGGACTGTCTAGGTTTTCAAGTTGCAGGAGGACAAAGCTCTGAGCAAGCTGGTCTGCTGGCATTGCTGGCCTTGCATAGAGCAGGGGATTTAACCAGAGACCTACTGGTGAAGTCAGTGTTCACCTCACTGAATCTATGATTTTTCCCTTGATGCAAGGGGAAAAAAAAGATTTTATCTGTGTTATTTATATTTTCCATTCAAATTGCTTGGATGACAGTGAAAAATTACCTATTCTGATAATCTTCCAAGAGACTGATCTTGGATGACATCAAGATCTTCACATAATACATCTTTAAAAGTACTGCTGTGTTTATTTTCTTTACCTGATGGTACGTTACTTTCATGTTTCAGGCTGTTAGCAATGAATGCATCAAATAAGAAATCAATAGCACGCTAGACTGACAAACATTTTTAGCTTATTATTTACTGTAGCATGTATTATTAAAATTTTTTTTACTGATGATAAGAACTTGACAGTAGTCTTATTTTTAGAATGTTTCTGTCCACTGTTATAACCTAAACCAGTGCTTATCCTGCATACTTGTCAATTATATAAAGAAGAGTTTCATGCGAGCAGTTTTCAAATCAAAGAGTCAGGAACAGTTAGGAATGAACTACCACAAAATAACAGGGCAGACCAGGTTTGGACTATTCTTTAGCATATGCTGTGTCATGCACTTTAAACATGAATTGACAAAATGTGAAAGTGAACAGTAGCAAATATTCCTGTGCTTAGCATGTCTGTCAAATGCACATTTGCATGTATGCCTACATAGTGTATAACAGCCTTCTGGTAAATAATGTTTGTACATTTACATTTTCCTTATAGAACTGCTCAGCATTCACCAGAGTTTTCTGCTGGACTGGAATTACTGAGCAGGTATGAGCTTCTATTTCTTCGTCATTCCTGTTATTTCACAACTGACTTCACTAGGTGAAGAAAATGAATGTGTTCACATTACTGTTAGTTTTCTTGATCTTCTGTAATGAGTAGAGTGGGGTTAATTAGCAGATAATAAATATATTTAAAGCTTGCACAGTTCCTAAGTACTGTAATTTTGGTGAATTAGGTGTAGCATACGAAAAGAAGCGTTTGATAGGTAACTTCAGGTCTAATGCGTGAGGAGGAAGGATAGCAACAGTGAGGCCCAGCCTGTGGTTTAAATTTGCTGTCTTAGAATTTTCTTATATTTGATTATTTACTTCTGTTGTAATGGAATTAGAGACAATATTCTTGTCATTGCCATGAAAATAAAGTGTTTTCCATGTGCATTTCATCACAACTTTTGAGCAATGAGAACTGTCTACATTGTAAATATATTCCTGTTTGTGTCTTCGAAAACCTGTCTTCACTTTTTGGGGAGGAAAGAGGAACAAACTGTTAGTCCTGTTTGCTTGTTTGTTTCATTTTCTCAATGGAATTGAGCTCCAAGTATTGCGTAAGCCTGTAGTCCATAGTTTCATAAGTAAGTCTGGATTCATTTAGATCTTATTATGTGCTAGCAGTTACAAAACAAAAATACACACAGATTAATTCCTTTTTGAAAGGAATTGCTTCATACTGTGCATGTCTTCCTGGTATTCTCTGTTCTAATTTGACAGCTTTCAAAACTGTATTTCTGTAATCCCTGTAAGTATGAGCACACCAGCACCCATAAATCCTTGTTGTTAATAAAGAGGATATAGCTGGAAAAAAAAAGTCATTTATCTGTCTTTTCTTCAGATATGAAGATGCTTGGGCTGCCCTTCATAAAGGAGCCAAAGATTGTGCAAAAGCTGGAGAGGTAAGAAAACAAATGCTGCTATTAAGATATTTACATGTGTACATAATTGTATACTACGTTTTTTAGTTCCAGAGCATTAGGCTGTTTCTAGCCACCAGCTTAACACCTCCACAGCATTGTTCAGTGGGACAGGGAGAGAACAGAATGAATAAAAGTGGATGGTTCAAAATGAAGGCAGTTTAACACCTGAAGGAGAAAGGAAAAAACAAGTAATGCAAAAGCAGTCACTCACAACTATCCATAAGCAATGCAATGCCCAGCCAGTCTCAAAGCAGCAACTTTGGGAGAGCAGCATTATTTCACCGTGATTTTAAAGTCATGCTTGAAAAGCAGCTAATAAATGAACCACAGTGTCCAGTTCTTGGTTTTGAAAGCTTTTAGAGATTGTTGCTACTCAGCAACAATACAGGTATTGTAAAAATAGCAATTCTCTGTGATCAGGTTTCTTACAAGGTATAACCTGTAAGGGTTTTCTGAAGCTCCCTCCTGCTTGCTTTCTTGTTTTCCTGTTGTTGTAGCAAGCACTGAGTGTAACTTCCTAGTGTTACTAAAGTATTTTTCAGCTGATACACTGATACCCAGAATACCTTGACTTTTCCCTTTTGTGTTCAGACAGTTAAAATCCCTACCTGTGCTTAAGCAACAAATATTAATTACATTAACTTACTGTTTTCCTGGGGCATATTAGGTTAGAGAAGGCTACTGAGCAATACTACTTTGCTGAAGTGTGGCAAGAAGGTGATGGTAAAAGAAAGACACATCCAGGTGGTCAGACAGCCAGTTTTTGCACTTTTCTGCTGTTACCTGGAATATTTTGAGTTACCTGGGAATATTTGAGACTGCTTAAGACATTACAATAAATGTAAATGATAATGTAATGCAAGCAATAAATAATGTGATTTGATGCAGACAGCTGCAAAAATGACATTGCATATTACCACTGTGTAACTCCTTAGCAGCACTGACAGGGCTGGGAAGTACAGAATATGTGGGGATGAGGCATGGTGGTGGTTAGTGGCAGGGCAGGGCTGTTGCTGTGACACTGCTGCTGCTCCTCCTAGTGGGCAGGAAATGGCAAGATCTGACCTGTCTGGCTGAAAAGATTCAGAAAGTTCCTGTGCCTGCTTCTGACTTCTCTCCTGGAAGTGAAGCAATGAGTTCTGTAGTTTATTTGTGGCAAAAAGAGAAAGGCAGCTGCAGTTAAGTACTACCTATACATTGATTTGGTCCCCACCAGACGTCTCATTTCAAACCCTGCTGAAGGAGGAAACAGGATCAGCTGTGTGGTGTGATGCAGAGCAGGACTGAGCTCTGTGGTTCTCTGTCCCAGTTTAACCTTCACTTTGCATCCTTCCTGATTCTTCTGGTTTCTGTAGCTTTCTCTGTGTCTTCCAATATATAAAAATCTCTCACTGCTTAATGTATTTGAAGGGCTGTATTTGGGGTAAGAAATTTTCATCTCTCTCTTGCTTTAATTGGATGCCCACCTTTTCTACCAGTTCTAGTGAAAATCTTCAGATACTGGGGATGTATTTCTCTGCCACATTTGTGTGCTTTGCTACTCACTGTTATTTTTAGGAGATCTCTTAAATAGGTTTCATACAATTCTGCAGTACTTGCAAATTTTAAGAGCATTGGGAATTTCCAGGTATATAAAAACTAGTGTAAACTTAATCTCACATGTTATGACTACTGGGAAAAATTAAAATGGAGAGCTTCTAAAAAGACTAGAAAATTTTCTATGAAGTTATCTAAACTTGAGGGAATCTAGAATATACTTTTATGAAAGTAGAAAATACAGATTTCAGTAACAGCAGAATTGTATAAGCATGTGGGATTGCATTGTACTGTATCAGGCCTGAAGGCCCACTTGTCCACTAGCCTGTTTCTGGTAGTGGCCAATTGCAAATAGATCAGACAGCTCTCTTAAAAAGAAAAAGGAACATGAAAATTTTAAGGTTTAATTACTGCCTGCAGTCTTGCCATGTTAAATTATAGATGCTAATTTACATTTCCATCTACAAAATTACTCTAAAAATACTGCTTTTAGATGCTTTTAATCTTAGTTGTGTGTAATTATCTCTTGTGCCATCTATACAAAAAAATCTTGCTTTTTGTCTGATTGATTTAATGTTTAATTTATATGAATTCCTTATTTCACTCTCAAAAACTGATCTGGCTTTATTTAAAATAAGGATGTCAGTCTTCCGAAGCATTTGATTACTCACTGAGCTTTGGAATAATATTTCAAGCCCTGTCTGGTAAAACAGGATGGCTTTTTGGCAGGCTGTGTAGTTGGAAGTATTTGGAAACAGAAGTCACCGTTCTTCTGAAGGTTTTTGTCTAAACTGCATAGAATGATACTATAGTTCTGTAAGAACTTCCTTTGCCCATTTCTCAGACTTTTTCAGTTTCTGCAATTAAATTCTATGAAAACTGAAACATTCAGATTGCAGATTCACCCAAGGGCTGCAGTTCTATGCGAGGGGAAGAATAAGTAATGGAACTAAGACCAGGGAAGCTGTAATTGAATAATCTCAAGCATTGTATATAAGGGCAACTTCTATTATCTAAGATCTCTTGATTTTGCTGTGTTTTGTTGCCCTATGTTTATTTATTTTTTTAGAAACACCACTTTTAAACAGTGTATCCTCCTCAGAAACTTTTATGTATACATAAAATATACTTTTACTGTATAATAAAAGTTGCAGAGAATCAAACAAACAAACAAGGAAAGTTGTGGAAGTATATTCAGAAAGATTTGCAACTTATGTAAGTATCGCAAAAGCAGAAGAGGAAGACTGATGCAAGGGTAACTTCTATTAAAAACACCACTCTTTTCATTTCATATTCTTAAGTATTTGGTACGGGCAGAGTTTGCACTTTAGTTGTTAAGATAGTGTATAATCAATGAATATAAAAACCTTATAATTATGAAATAAACAAGAGAGTTTGGCTAAGCAGGCTGTAATATCAAAAAGAGAACAGATAGAATGCTTACCTGCATCCTGGGCTCACTGCAAAACTCCAGAGAAGGGATCTCCAGAAAGAGACCCTTCCCCTCTAGTAGTCAGCTCTTAAATAGGCCTGGCTCCACCCTTTCTGGCAGCACAGGTGAATTGCCCTCACCTGTGCTCCCAGGGCTGAGTCACAGCTCGCCTCAGGTGTCAATCAGAGGTTCCCATACAGATGGGCAGCTGTCTTCTCAATGGATTTTGATATTATGAAGATAAACATAGGATGTCACAGACTTCTAAGGATGGAACTAGTTCAGAAACAGAAGCTGCTTCTAAGCCAACTGTTCTGTTTTCTGAGGTGGTAATAGGTGAGAAAATGGGGAAAAGTGGTATTGACTTGATTAAGTTGACATGACTTAACAATATTAAACTAAGTTATCAATTTAAGTAAGCCTTAAAATGTAGCACTGCGATGTTGTTACTGCGTACCAGTGCAACTCTACTGTCACAGTTTCAGATGTACGCTGTTTGCTGTTGATAAAATTCATAAAATGTGTTCTCTGTTGATAAGTATAGTGAGAAAAAACTTTTTATCTTGTTTCAATCAATGCATTTGATATAAACATTTCATACTGTGGAGGACTTTCTTAAACATGTTGGATATCTACTTGAGAAATATAGAAGTTGTAGTGCTGTAAAATGTTTCGTACTGACTTGATGCTTGTGGAAGTATGAATTAAAAGAATTGGTCAAGGTGCTCGTAAACAGGAATGTAAACTTGCAAGAAAAACTAAGAACCTGTTTGTTTCAGCTGGTGGACAGTGAAGTTGTGATGCTCTCTGCACACTGGGAAAAGAAAAGGAACAGTCTGGTAGAACTACAGGATCAGCTCCAGCAAATACCTGGATTTTTAGCAGATCTGGAATGCCTTACAGCAAGCCTAGGTAAGGTTTTATAGACATAACAAGCATTCAAGTCAGCACTGAGGCTTAGACAGAAGTTCAAATGTTATGAATTTCATAATAAAATTTAACTGAGCTCCTCAAACACATTGCTTTTATGAGGTAGTTGCGCTTTCACTGGTTTTGTAAAGGAGCAAAATTTGTCCTGGTTGCTCTCAATAATTTATGTGTCATAATTTGGGTGGAAAAGGTTGTATGACAACTGCAGGTCTTGATAAGATCAGTTGAAAATGATTACTATTGAAGTCTTAAATTCTGAATGATACATAAATGATGTCAGTGTTTGTTTTTGTATGAGCCTGTTTCATTTAATTTATTAATTTGTTTTAAATGATCATTTGTTCTGTAGTAGTTCTTTGACTTGTAATTACTGTATTTATTTTTGGAGCAAAGAATGTATTTCACTTTTTATTACAATTATCTTGTACCACATGATTCCATAAGAGTTTACTGTGTGCAGTAGCCCTGTAATATTGGCTTTTTGAAAATCTCTCTTGTTTTCTAAGGAAATATCAACTCCTATATTGATTTATTTAAATAATGAATTTAATGTCATCATGTATGAAGTAATACAGCCTACTGGTAGGCCAGAGATAAATAATATAATAAAACCTAGTGGAAATTTCTTTATAAAAATAAAGATTTATAAGATCGTAAGAATAAGGATTCATAACTGCAAATGCCATAAATTTTGATGAATTTGAGTTACCTTTCCACTGACATTAAAGCTGGCTGCTTTTGGTCTAATAAATTTCAGATAAACAGCCTTTTTTTGTGACCTATGTAAAATCAGTCTAAGTCATGTACAGTTTCTTCCACTTTTTCTGTATAAAAAGACATGTTTTTTATTAGCACTTTATTTATAAGCCCAACTTTGGTACTCTCATTGTCAGTCAGCCTTCCATTAAAAACTCATGTAAATGTACTGTATATGATTCTGTGGCTGTTGTTGAAATACTTGAAGAAAAAAGTACTCTCTTACAAAAGCAAAAAGAGCAGTTGTCCTTTCAAAGTCCAGCATCTGAATCACCATTTAAGACAATTTGAGATATTGTAGAAAATATCTGCTTGCCAATATCTGGCATGCTTTTCTTAATATAAAGTGTGCCCCATGTTTTGTCAGGGGCATTTGCTCTAATGTTTGTCTTGATTTCAGCAAATCAATGTAAACAAATGTTGATTCAAATCCAATTTTCTTTTTTTTGACCAAACATCTTAATGTTAAGCATCAAATTTATGCTAATTTCAGAGAGGCTGGTCTCAAACATAGGTAACAGATCAAATGAAGGTTGAGAATATTTAGACTGGCAAGAATGGGAAGAGAATAAAGAGTGATATATAGTCACAGAGATAAAAGTTGCTGCTTCCCAATCTTTGAGATTTAATTTTTTCTTTTGCTTTTGAGATCCAGGTAAATATCCTAACAACTTATAGGCTGTTAAGCGAAGAAGACTGTGTAAATTGATGACAGATAATTCAATCTCATGTATGTTAATGTTTGATCAGAAGATTCTTTTTTAGGAAGTTAGAACTAGGTGAACTTGTAATAACACTTGCACATGTGGTTGCATGAGAAATACAGACCAAACTAAAGCAGTTGGACAGATGTGACCTAAAGTACAAGTCTGGTTTTTCACGTATCTCACAAAACACTGTATTTCTACCAAGTGTGGTATATTGGCATATAGGAAAATTCTTAATTTAAGAGTCCAGTGAGTGTTTTTTTCTCCTGCATAGCACTGTTTCAGGGTGTGATGGTGGTTGGTGCCTAATGATCAGCTGGGGGATTTCTTGAAGTATGAGCTGCCTGTCAAAAGGCGAGTAGAAATCCTTGGAGCTAATTGTCCTGCATACAGAGGGTTTCTGTACCTGTGGTGTTCTGACTTTTAAAATGTCATGGCTCTGATCTGTCTGTATAAGCTTACTTAAGCTTAATTTCTGTTTTCTTGTTTCTGTTTAAATTGCAGCCCCATGTAAAAAGATGGTGTTTTGTCTGTTCTGCTTGGAGCCTATCTTGGTATATACAGATTTCAGCTTTTTTAGTTGAAATTTTGAGCAGGAAAAACACAGTAGTCATGGAAGTATTCTTTAGCAGATTAGCCTGCTTTCTGGGGCAGGCTCGTTCTAGTTGCCACTGCAAGCAATAAACTGGAAGCAGGGAGTTTTTAAATTTGGTATTTTTGCTAAATACCTTCTTAAAAGTATGAGCTTATTCATCTGTGCATATAGATGAGAACTGATCAAACCTTCATGGCTTAAATTTTGTTAGATTAAATTGAATACACAGCTGTGATTGAAACTTCTTTTCAGTGCACAATACTTGTATTCTCATTTGGGAAGGAGAGATGTTAGTTCACAACCACGGCTAGTGCCATGCAATTGCTTTGGCAATATTGCTTGTGAAAAGCAAGTAAGTTGCCTTTCGTTTCAGAAAGAAAAGATCTGTAATCCTTGTTGCAGCAAAGCAACGTTGTTGTGTTCTGGAGAGTTCTGAAGGTGTTCCCGTTATTCAGGTGCACTCCAATTTCTGCTGTTCCCACTAGAGGCTGCTCAAATGCTAATGCTAGGAATCAATTGGCCTCTGGAATGCACTTTTCATCGTTATATTTTCCTGTTGTTTGTAGTTGTCTTTTAGTATTAAGTTAGCATGATTTAAACATTTGTTTTTTAATGCACTTAGAAAGGTCCATATTTTAAGCAAAAGGGACAACCAATTGTAATTAAGGTTGTCTGGTATTATGCTTTGAATAAATGCTGGATTTTTTGAGTGAGGATGTTGAGTGTGATAAAGAATGCATGTTCCACATCATCATCTGTCTAACTGGAACATTTTTTTCCTCAGAGTTGTTTCCACATGAATTGTCTGTAGCTTTCTTTCAAATGATCTTCGCTGATCGCATGAATCATTTTTCCTTTTCTGACTGCCATGGGGCATTACCTTACTTTGTTGTAAGCAATAAAAAAAGTCTTTGAAAGTAACTGGAGCTGCACATATGAATATGCATTCTTGTGAATTTGTTTATGGAGTCTTTTAACTCTGCTGTTCTAGGAAGATTGCTGTTATAGCGATCTCTAATTGTCATAGACAAGCAAGTTGAAGTTTTGTATCTTCCAAAATAGGCTCCAAGCAGCACAGTCCAAAGATTATTTGGGGATTTGACAGAAATGTTTTCAGGAGGAGCACAGCCATTTGCCAAAATTAAGATTGCTTTAGTTTTTCTGCTATTTCATTCCATCATCTGCATAGTTCTTTGCATTGACAATCAAGTTTCAGGTTTGTGCATCTAACTCTGAACTGCAAAATTCCATCTTTAGGAAATTCTCTTGTGGCAGGATGTTGGGAAATGGTTTCAAACTAAAAGGGTGGAGATTTAGTTTGAATATTAGGGAACAAACAAACAATAAGGGTAGTGAAGCAGTGGAACAGGTTGCCTCAGAGGAGTGTTGGATGCCCCGTCCCTGGAGACCATCAGTGTCAGGCTGGAGGGGGCTCTGAGCAACCTGATGAGCTGTAGATGTTCATGTAGATGTTCATTGCAAGATGGCCTTTAAAGGGTCCTTCCAGCTCAAAATCAATTGTATGATTCTGTGATCTACTCTTTGCTTGCTAGTTTGTTTATAAACATGTAAATGTAATTTATCCTTTTTCCCTCTGGTATGGGAGAAATCATGGCAGAAGTGTGCATAATAATCTTGCATTCACAGAGCTCCATCCTGGAGTGATTAGTTCATTAAAGTTTTGGAAAATTAGTTTTTCCACTTTGGGATCCCAATGAGGGATGTGGAACTCAGTATTTAGTCAGCCATAAAGGGAGAGATTTTTGATGTAAGTTTCAGGAAAATTCTGTTCAGAGGGTACTTAAGGAGATCTAAACTTCTGCTCAGAACAGGGTGAGCTATGAGATAAGATTTCTCAGGGCTTTTCATAGGCATGATCTCTTTATCCATAATGTCCAGAGTCTAAACTTAAAAAAAATATATAGAAATGTTTTCTAAGCATATGTGGGATAGAGGTTTGCCTATCAATCTATCTTTATTGCTTACTTTTTAGAGCCTGTGGTTTTAGGTTATCACAAGGTCATGTTAGAGTTAAAATTCTCACATTATGTTATACTTGAGTTGAATATTTAAGGTCGGGACTGGTCTTGTTCAGTACATCTTCATTTCTCAGACTGGTATGATAGAGAAAGGGGTAAAGTGACAGTGTGCTTGACTAGCAACATCAAGCTACAGATTCTGGCTGCTTCTTTTCACCAAGTCCAGACCACAGGTCTGTGATGTGCTGGGGCAGATATATCAAGTGATTCAGCATCTTACTGCAAAAAGAACCGCTGCTAGATCTCACTTAAAATGGTGCCATTGTCATCTTTACTACGGGATGTGAGATGTGTTTATCTTTCTGAGCCAGTTATGCATGTGTAATTATTACAGCCTAACCTCTATGAATTCCCATTTGTGCTTGGGCGGGTTGTAACATCTATTGATACAGTTTGGTGCTCATATAAATATTTCATATAGCCCGTCTAGAGGCAAACTTTGAAGAAATGGAGACTCAGCTGTTGTGTCTTGAGGACCTGTGTGAACAGTGTGAATTGGAAAGATACAAATGTGTGCAGACGTTACAGCTGGAAAATTACAAGAAAACAAAAAGGTAAATAAAGCAATTGCTATAAATATAGTGTAACATAAAGTATAACCCTCCTGTGATTTTTTTTTTGTTTTTTTTTCTATTTTCTTTTTGTATATGGTACAATCCCTATTTGTTTCATCTTCTAAAGAAACTATAATCTTTGACAGGAAGTTTCAAGTTTGTAATAAATCCAAGTGTTAGAGCAAAACTCAGTGGTGATGAACTGAGAGTATTTGGAAAACTACTGCTACATTGTTGTTATGATGAAGTTGTGCATATTATCCTCCAAAAACAGTCAGAGTAAGGGATATTGTGAGCTATTATGAGCTCTGATGAATTGTTGATTGTTTTAAATCATTGCCCTGATTTTTATATTTTTTTCTTCATTATAACCTTTGAAGTTTGTGACTTATTTTTCCTCTGGCATCCTTTCAGTTCTATCATATCCTAGAAATATTTTCTACTCCATGCGATAGTTACTACTCATCTGTCATTCCCATTCATAGAGACATGGCATTACTACTGAGAATTCAAGTCCAACTTGAAAAGCATGTGTGAAAAGTCAACCACAGAACCTCTTATGCTTATAGTTCATGTTTCTGTAAGAGATACCATAGCAAGAGATAAATGTTAGCAGCTTAATAAATTTACTTTCTTGGCTTTGTCACTGAAAGTAGCAAAAAGAATCTTATTAAAGAAAATGAAAAGAGAAGTAGTATTAATTTTATGACATAGATGAGGAAATGGGGAGTGAAATTGGAGCCATGTGTCAAAGATTATCTTTGATGGACCTGTGTGGGTAGATGCAGTTGCAGGCTTTGACATAGGAATATCTGGGTTGCTTGATCTGAGCAGCCTGTTCTCCTGTTAGACAGGGGAAGCAATGTGGCAGCCTCCCCAGTTCTTGTTAATGTGGAAGAAAGTTTGACTTGTGTAGTATGGTCAGAACAACTGGTTTGGTTTGTGGTCCTGATTAGAATGTACTCATCAAGGTTAGGGTTCTGTCAGTTGGTCAGTCCTAATAACATTTTCTCCATTGATCTTGATCTTGCTACATCTCTGCTCAGATTTCTGCTGCTACTATCTATGTAGGTTTGTGATGTTAGAGATGTAGAGTTACCTTTTGTATTGCTCACACTGAAGTTCTGTGTCCCAGAAACTCCCCATTGCCTTCAGTTATCTGTGAAGTTTGGCTATTTTTTATACAAGTCCCTTTTAGCTACTTGTGAAATCCAGTCACACCTCATGGTGCTGTCTGTCACATCCAGCAGATTCTCATGCCACAGTCCTTCATCTTTTCACTCCTATTCAGGTAGCTGAACCTCAGAATCTCATCAGTGGTCTTGTGATTTTCCTGCAGCTTGGATTTACTCTTTCTTAAGCCTGGGCAACATTATTTCTGTTCCCTCCAGGAAGCCCTGGTGCTAGTCAGTATGTCTGAACTATAATTTAAATAACTGAATATTTAGTAGTAATATTTTCAAAATTCTAAGTAGGTGCTATTTAATCAACTAACAAGTAAATCTAAGATGTGCATAAAGCAATAGATCTACACTCCCCAAAATACAACAACTTTTCAGAAGTTGTCTTGAGTCTTGTCTTCCCTCTCACCTGAGTCCTTTCCTTCCTGTATCCATTCCCCAATCTCTGCTCCTTTAATCAAAATATAGCCTTAAACTGTTGCCTACAGTGCTTAGCATCTAATCAGTTTTATAAATAGAATGCTAAGCAAGCTACTTAACATAATTGTAAGCTGATTACCTTTGGCCAGATTTAGACAAAACAGGAAAAATGCAGGTAATTTCTGGTTGATCATTACCATAGTATTTGTTTAGGTAAGAAATTAACTGCCAGCTCATTACTAGAAGGACACTTGGCATTGTAGGTACTTGAAGAACGAACAGCCAGTTAACTTAATGTGAGTGTCATTTGTTATCTATGCTTCCAACTCTGATTTTCTGTTCCTCTATATACTGCTTGGGGTTTTTACTGGGGTACCAAATACTGAAAGAATCAAGTGGGGATTCAGGAGCCTATAGTCTCTTTTTAACATAAAGTTATTCTCAGGGAGTGATTAGTTCTGTGTAAAAAGGTGTTTCTTGTATGTTGACCATGTGGGGATGAAAACTGTGAACACAAGCTCTGGAAATTGTGGTTAATTTAAGGATATAACTAGAAGTAATTTTACTGTGAAGTTATTTCAGAGATTAAGCTAGGAGCTCATGTATTTCAAGTCTTTTGAAAAAAATCTTCCTATATGAAAGATTTAGAAGAAAGCGCTTTAGGTCAACATTGAACCTTTGAAATGCAGCTTATGGTAACTATGGGAACTGACTTTCAGAAATAGGTCTCCCTATTAAGTAGAGCACTTTATTTCTGTTCAAACAGATCGATTTTTTTGCTTTAGTCATTGCAACGAGTACTAATTTAAAGGTAGATTCATCAGTCCAAGGTGGTTTCCACAACATGTTTTAAAGAATGCAGCTGGACGGTGGGGGAATTGCTTGTTTTTCTGTGCACTTATCCCTGGATTTTAAGTACTTTTTCGTGTATTCATTAATCAGGGTACCAGTGCTGTAGTATGGAAACCAGGTTCCACCTTTTCTCTAGTTGGAATTGCTGCAGTTGTTTGCATGTATGTTAGCATTGAATCGTGCCATTAGTATCCTGTTCTTTCCTCAAGCATGATCCTATTCCTCCTCCCTTTGCCCTCCTGCTGAGAATGTACCATTTCTGATTCCAGAAAACTTGTGTTGCTCCAGTCTCCTATGGCATTTCTTGCATTCTCAAAACAGTTCACTGCATTATTGAGGAAGCAGTGCTGGAAGCTCACTTTTGCACTAGTTTTTACATGCACCAAAATCCATGCTTGTGGTGTCAGCTAGAATGATCGTCTTGAAGCTCTGAAGCTCTTAATACCAATTGTAGTCATTTCAGAGATCAGTTTTCTCAAAAAATAGCACCTCCTGGTTATTTTATCAGTTAAAAGGAGATGACTAACAGTAACATCTTGTAGGAACACGTTTTAAATAGAAGCTGTCCCTTGGTACTAGAAATAAAGTGAATACATTTCGCTGTGTCATTTGACTTGAAATATAATTGTTAGAATCTTAATTGTTAGCACTTGCTATTCAAGAAACCTTTGTTTTCAGTATTTGATTTGAGAACAGGCATAAAAGGAAAATGATTGAAGAAATCTGAAATCTCGAGTCTCTTCTTGTTTGGATGTATTCAGCAAATGAATATACCAAAAGCTTCAGTAAGACTTTTTTCATTTCTTGTCACATTTGAAGAACTGCTTTACCTGACATGAAAATATGTTCTTGGGTACATTTATAACTGAACTTGCTTTTTTGATTTTAAAGGTTTCTTTGTTACCAAACAATATATAATCCTCTGCTTTGGAAATTAGCAAAGTAGTTGAAGATCTTGATAGACTGAGGTGCTTCCATGCTGATGACATACCGTTTTTATGGTCTTGCAGAGGGTTTGATTCTCATTCAAAAGTGCATGAAATTTATAGCAATGGCATTGTATGGATTAGAGATGACTATGTGATAAAATGTCCTGATCAGTTACTACAGTGAAGTTTATTTTGTCAGTGTAGTCTTTTGTTGTTTTTATCCCTCTTTCTAATTGCTTTGGGAGCATAAGGGGCTGTAAGAATAGTTGCAGTTGATAAAAAAAAAAAACCAAAACCTTATGTTAAGGCTTAATTGACATAAACATCCAAAACATAAATCCATAAACTTCCTTAGACCAATCAGATTAGTCTGCTTTCAGGAAAAGTTCCATCTTAGTTGTTATTTACCCACTAGCATTAAACAAAGAGAGAGAAAAGTAATACAGTAGGTTTTCTTGTGTGCTTCTTTCAAGTATTATTTGTAACTCCTGCAGTATCACTGTAAAGCACTGTGTTTACCTAAGTTATTTTAACAAGGTTGGAAGAGAGATGTCGGAATGGGTAGTACCCTACCATATGAAACTGTGTTGCCTAAAAGAAGACTTCTATGTCTTTGACTTTGTTAGGCCCCATAATGCTTCCCATGTGATAAGCTAAAGCAGTGCATCACCTGGGAGATCAGAGCACTTGGTTTTGGCAGAATGGTATGGTGTCCGCATACCCTGAATTTTAAATTCATAGACTTTATGTATTCTCTGTATCTTTCTGGTTTGTGAAGTTGGAAGCTTTCAGCAAACATTTGTTTATGGCATTTATTTGCCTTCACCCTCTTCTTCCTCCTACCATGCTCCTCATCAGGCATGGTGCGTGGAAGGATTTGTCTTCAAATTTGTCTATGTCCATTATGCTCAGAAGAGGCCAAGAATCTGGCATTAAACTTTACCTGAGTATATAATCTCTCCTCATCTAAGTATTATCTTGAAGTACAAAAACAATCTTGTGCAGCTGAACTTTCTCAAATGACTATTGGACTTCTCTTGCTTCTGTCATTCTCTTGGTCATTTTCAAATGACCTCCACCTATTTATGAAAGCTAGCAAGTAGAAAGGGAGAAATGAAAATTACTGCCCATATGTGGCCAGTTCTTAGTAACTCTAGTGTACACATAGAGCCTAAATAGTTTCTGTCTCTCAGGAAAGAAACTCGACTTTATAAGTTGCTCTGTGAACAGAACATTACTTTTCTAGTGCCTCTGTGTCAGTATACTCTTATTATTTACCTTCATTATACTCTCCTTCAGGGTGTATATCATTTTTCAGTAAAAGAGGAGGTATTTACATTATATTAGAGTCGGTTACTTACAGAAGTTACTTCTTAATGAAAGCTTACCGTTAACTGTAAAAAAGTAAAGAATGACAGAATCACAGAACTGCAGGCTCTAGAAAGGACCTATGGAGACCATCAAGAACAACTCCTTTGCTAAAAGAGGTTCCTTACAGCAGGTCACACAGGAAAGTGTCCTGGTGGGTCTTGAATAACTTCAGAGAAGACTCCTCAACCTCTCTGAGCAGCCTGTTTCAATGCTTTGTCATTCACAGGAAAGAAATCGCTCCTCATGTTTGTATGGAACTCTTTGTGTTCCAGTTTTTGCTATTGCCACTTGTTCAATCACTGCACAGCACTGAAAAGAGCCTGGCCCCATCCACTTGACTCTCACATTTCAGATACTTATAAACAGTTATGAGATCCCCTCTCAACCTTTTCTTCAACAGACTGAAGAGTCGCAGGTGTTCCAGTCTTTTCTTGGTGGGAAGTGCTTCAGGTCCCTGATTAGTCTTGCCACCCCGGCTGGACTCTTTCTAGGAGGTTCCTGTCCTTTTTGAATGAGGGAGCCCAGAACTGGACACAGTACTCCAGATGTTGCCTCCCCAGGGCCGAGTAGAGGAGGAGGATCACCTCTCTCAACCTGATAGCCATGCTCTTTTTAATGCACCCAAGGATACCACTGGCCTTCTTGGCCACCAGGACACATTGCTGGCTCATGACCAACCTATTATCCATTACCTATTATCCTCTACTGATGTACAAGGTTATCCCTCCCCAGGTACAAGTGCCTTTACTTGCGTTTGTTGAAACTCATCAGGTTTCTCTCTTGCCCAACTCTCCGGTCTGTCCACATCTCACTGAATGGCAGCACAGCCTTCTGGTGTTGCTTCTCCTCCCAACTTCTTTTAGTTCTTTGGCAAACTCACCGCGTTTTCATTTGTGTAGCTAGACAGAGTTGATGTCATTAACCCAGTGTTTGATAGCTGAAATAGAAGAAATGTATAGTCAAAATCCAAATATTGGGATTGATTGATTAGTGGTCAGATATAGCCTGGAAGGTTCTTTAATCCTGGATAGATGCTGAATTATCCATCCTGTTTGCCTCTTAAAACTGCACATGTAGGGAGGCTAGGGGTAAAATAGGTTTTCTTCCTAATGATAGTGAAAAAAAGTATCTTAACCATCTCCCGTGTTTTGTTTTCCTGGCCAAAAAGTATATGAAATCCAGCAGTGTTTTTCTTTAGAAAGCTTTACATTGACTAACCAGGCAAATATATTGCAGCTTTATTTCCTATTATAATGTTGTTAGTAAGCTGTCCTTCAAAGACTGAGCTCTGTTGTGTAAACCTAATGTAAAAGATTATCTCAAAAAACAAATGATTTAAAGTAAAATAAAAACAAGTATAAAAAGCTAATATGTGGTATCATGACTGGTAGTTTAATATGGTAAGACCTGAAAAAAAGAGGTAACAATCCTAGCTACTCATCCAGGTCTGCAGTGGTTTTTTGTTTTGTTTTGTGTTTTTTTTTTCCTACAGATTAATCTTTTTAGTATTAATTGCCCAAATTAGCTAATTTTTTATTAGAGTGTCTATGTGTTCCAAATACATAGTTTCCTTCTTAATGCAGCTTCAATGTATTTATTTCTGTGGATTATTTTTGTCTGCATTCTTAAAGATGCACCTTTTTACTTTTATTTTTTTTTTAGTTTCTGACAATTTATGAATAAAAAATAAATTATTTATTTGCAAAGGAGAAAAGGAGCTCTTTGCAATACATACTTTCTGTAATTATGTTTAGAACTCCATAAAAAAATCATCAGTCTGGATCTGACTTGCTACAAAGATACTAGGAAATACTGGTCCTTAAATTCATAATCTTTACTCTTACTGCATACTAACAGTAATTAATTTCAAGTTCATTTCTAGCTTTCTTAATTAGTGTAAATTATATAGATGGATGTAACATGACTGTCTTAATGGATCAACCCTAAAACATTTTGATGGCTTTCTAGAGGGAAGATTCTGGGTTCTGAGATAAAAGCCCTGAATATCACAGTCAGTTGGTTGCACCTTTGCTATCCTGTTTGGTACTATATTTGCACATAATGACAGTCATTATGCCGTGTTCCCTTTTGGAGATAAGTGGTATGAGACCTCTTGGTTTCAGGACCAACTGATGTAGGTCTTTTCCTCTTACATTCACAAGATGTTTCCTCAGTATGGTTTTGTTTCTGACTGTGGAAAATGTGCATTTCCTGCAATTGATATTTTTATGCAATTATTTAAACATAAGGAGTATAGCTTGAGAGAATGCTTGAGAGTTTTTTTAATTATGCTTAGAGCACGTAGGATGGGAAAAAATAACTGGAATTTGAATCCACAAATCATGTGTGTTGTAAGCTAGTTTTTTTCTCTGTTAAAAAAGTGAATATCTGAATTGAGAAGAGGATGGAGACAGGAAGGGAAATAAATATCACAGGAAGTCAGAATTAATAGGCTTCAGTACTGTAACTCATGCAGTAGCTTTTTCTCCTGCCAAAGCACAAAGAAACTGATGTTTGGTTCTTAGTGACAAAATTGGCACATTCACTGGAAATGTGGAGGTAAATGCATTCTCTGGCTGCTTTTGGACTGCTTTGTGCTGCTTAGAAAATAGCTTAGGTTTTAAAGGTTTTGTCTGTTTTCTCAGCAGGAATAAATACTCAAGAACTTCATCTGTTAGGGAGGAGAAGGAATTATTATAGTACAGCATATGTATTATGAAAGAGTCTGCATCGTATGTGACTCTGTAACGACTAAAGCATATGTTTTCATCTATGAATAGTGAGAAGTGTTTATCTGGAGAGCTGTTAGTTCAGTCTTTTTTGAACTTTTACTTAAAATCACTTTTGCATTCCAAATCTGGAATTTAGCTGCTTATTACATGCATGAGACTTAAGACTTGAAGGCACAGGCTGAAAAGATGTTCATTATTGAGTGAACATTTCATAAGGAAAAGGCCAGCGCTCTGCCTTAAGCTATTAGTTTTTTCTTTAGTTTCTCAGTTCTTAATAAATCACTGCTTTGTAGCACTGGCAGATAGATCATTATGCTATTTCCTGAAAACAGGAAAAATATTTCACTTATCTGCTTTGCATTCAGGATTGCCTCATTACTGAAAGCGGAACGTGGCCTGGTGTGAAGGAAAAAAGATGCATCTGCTTTTGACTTGATTTCTTAGTTGTCTGGTACTGGAGTATTGTCTGTTTTCTGTCGCTCTGTGTATTTAAAATTCTGTCCTCTGAGGGGAATATTTCTGTTGCCTTCAGAGTGTGTTGCAGCTGAGTGAGTGAAATTGTAAATTCTTTGCCATTGTCAAGAGGATTTTTCAATAGCATTGATGAAAATGAAGCACTTACTGTTATTCACTAGTCAATAGATGCTTTAGTATCCGAAACCTTAAGAAGTCTTGATTATTTTTGTAATAACGTAACTTGAAATTATGTGGATAGAAGTAAATATGCAACATCTGTGTAATTGTGCTTATTAATGAATAGATGGTAGCCTAACTTAGAAACAGTTTGATTTAGATAAGCACACTTAGTAGTATTTATTACCCTTACAGATGGTAAAAATAAAATTCTTTGCTTTTAGTCTTTTAATGAGTCTTAACATTTCTAATTTACTGATTTGCTTATTTATTTGTATTCTGGTTTTCCCCTACAGGAAGGAACTTGAGGCCTTCAAAGGTAAATTCTGTTCATTTTCTTTCATGTTTTACTTGAATATTTACAAGAATTACTGTAATTTTTATATCAAATGAGACCAGCACAGAACTGTTCCACTTCTGCATTTGATAATCTGAATTTTATGTCAGACTATTCAGTTTACCTTTCTTGCTCCTGGTTGCACTGCGGGAAATCATAATTGTAGGAAGAGCACAGAGGGTACTGTTGTTTTAGGTAGATTTCAGAGATTTTGTATCTGATTCAGATCTCTCTCTTGGTGTTAAGTTTCGAATGTTAAGTGCTTTGTCTTCTGCTAGTTAATGTCTTTTCCAGAGTAATACATTTTTGATGTGTTGTTGGCTATTAATTGCTGGGCTTCTGTCTAGCTATGTCTAGGAAATTTTCACAGTATTATTGCATCAGATGGATGCAATTCCTGTAGCTCAACTGTTTGGATATAAATTAGTTTACGTACATGTATCCATCCCAAACAATATGCTGTGGCTAGGAACTCTGTGGCTCTTTGCTTTGAATAAGGTATGACTGTGGCTTTGTGATTAGCCCTTATTTATGAATACCAAGTCAAGTACTTTGACTTATACCAACTAACTGTCTCTTCAAATTGAAGGTAGGGCTGGGAATTTCAGTCAACTGCATTCCCCTTTGACTTTTCAATTCATTACTATCTCATCCTTACATAAGGCTGAAAAAGGAAAATAATAAAGCTAACATTAGTGGACAAGCTACACAGATTATGTAAAATGTCACTTTATCTGTAGCTTACCATAACAGTTCCTTTTTTCATTGATGTGACAGCTTTCAACACAGACTAGCTCAATATAAAACCAAAGATAAAGCAAAGCTTATTCTATCCCATGGCAGTGCAGCTACTTTGTATTACCTGATACTCATGAGAGCAGTGAATCTTACTTTTGCTTGTTTTAATTAGGGGAGTTAAATGAATCAGGAGGCTTCCAAAATTAGTTCTCTCTTGGATTCTCTTTTTTTCCCCCCCCCCAACAAAGGTGGCAACTTTTTGGAAAAGTAGATGTTGATGTACTTCAGAAGCACAAGTATTTTCATGCAAGGGAAAGGTGCTGGCTATATGCTTACCTCAAAATTTATGTCAACCTAAGTAACTGGTTTTGTAATGGATATAGATGCGTACAATTTTCCAGTAGTAGTCATGAAGGCTTATAGTATGCAAGAGAAGGTTTTTACTTTACAGAATTGTAAACAGATGCCAAAAAAGAATCCAAAGGATTTTTTTTTGCTTTTTCACTGAGAAGTTCAACTGTAGTCAGTGGTTGTTACAATCCATATCAATGACTAAGGAGTAGGATCTCATACTATACCCAGGAAAGACCAAGTTAGAGTTTTCTCTATGCCCATGGGGTGTTTCCAAACCAACTGATCAAGTTTATTATCAACTGTCAGAAGCTATGGAAGGCTGAAAGAGCATAAACACAGTGTCAGATCTTTAAAAATAGAAATTAGTCATTGGCCTAAATGTTACTTATTTCTTTTCAAATTGAACCAGTGGATAAGGTTGTAGTCAGTAGAAAAAGAGGGAAGTAGTAAGAAAATTTGACATGACAAAATGGTCATGTGAAGCAAGTTTAAGTTCTTTTTATAAGATGACAGCAGTATAATTGAAAATGAACAATATGTACCTTATTTTAGCTCTGGGAACAGCTTGTACTGTCTTGCCTGATGTTATCCCAGGAAATAGAGATTAAACCTACTGGAGAATGCATACATGTCATTTCATCAATGCATCATACATGCATTTCATCAGCTGATAAGGAACAGAGTGAATTTCCTCACTCCTCACAGAGTGACAAACGTTTCAGTTCTACAACAGCTTTCTACAGTCCTAACTAGTGGTTCCTTCGTACATATTCCTGTTTTAAGCTGCTTCCAGAGCTTATGCAGAACATGATCTGCTGTTTGGTTTAGCTTTGGTTGATGCAGCGAGCTGAAATAGCTCAGTAGATAGCCAGAGGAAAGGAAAGTTGACACAGGATGAGGAAAGGCCAGGGAGTGTGTCAAAGTTACCAGTGTGATGCAGTCACCTGGAAAGCAAATACTTCTGATGGTACTGTACCTAACAGATTTTAAGGCTGAGATGAGAAAGTGTTGGTACCATTGTGTGAAGGCTGATAAGACTGAAATACTGCATATAGCTTTTGCATGCTGTACACAAGATAGGTTAACCTGAAGTAGTTGGGTAGATTATTCTTTAGGTTTTCAGTTCCAAGTATACACTATGGCTTCAACTGATTTATCCTTGTGGACCTACCTGGACTGAAATGTGTTCATAAAAATGACCAGCACTGGGTAGGCAGAAAAGAAGAACTGCCTAAAGTAACAGCACTACTGTTTGGAGACTGAGGAGAAGGCAGTACTTTCTGTATACAAACTGTATAAAAAGACATTTGAGTATTAGAAGACTTTCTAATTATTAGAGCCCAGGGCTTCTAGAGTTGATACCCATTATGTGCCATGGTTTTGCCTTCTGATTTTAACCTGGAGCTTAAGAGGTTTATGAGGAAGATAATTGTATGATCAATGAATATTAAGATGCTATAATTACAAAATAAACAAGAGAGTTTGGCAAAGCAGACTATGATAACAACAGAGAATAAATAGAAAAATTACCTGTATCCTGGGCTCACTCACAAAACTCCAGCAAAGCAGATCTCCAGCAGAGATCCTTCCCCACTGGCAGCCAGCTCCTAAATAGGTCTAGGAGAGGTGCAGCCAGGCTCCCCCCCTTCCGGCACACAGCTGAATTGCCTTCACCTGTGCTCCTGTGGCTGACTCAGTGCTCGCCTCAGGTGATCAATCAGAGGTTCAGGCTGTGACTCAGCAGTTCCCATAGAATAATTTGAAGTGCTTTCATTATGGAGGGAGTGGACTTTGGATTTCTTCCAGGCCAGTGCTGAAAAGATGTCCAGTTGGGAGTTGATGTTGTTAAGTAGTGTGAAACAAGCATATAATAATATGTTAAGAAATTAGGAATGATCTTACAGAATCACAGAATGGCCTGGGTTGCAAAGGACCACAATGCTCATCCAGTTCCAACCCCCTGCCATGTGCAGGGTCACCAACCAGCAGACCAGGCTGCCCAGAGCCACATCCAGCCTGGCCTTGAATGCCTGCAGGTGTGGGGCATCCACAGCCTCCTTGGGCAACCTGTTCCAATATGGCATCACCCTTCGTGTGAAAAACTCCCTCATGATATCCAACCTAAACCTCCCTGTCTCAGTTTAAAACCATTCTCCCTTTTCCTATCACTATCCACCCTTGTAAACAGCCATTCCCCCTCCTGTTTATACGCTCCCTTCAAGATCTAAAAGGCCACAACGAGGTCTCCCCTGAGCCTTCTCCAAGCTAAACAAGCCCAGTTCCCTAAACCTTTCTTCATAGGAGAGGTACTCCAGCCCTCTGATCATGATTTTTATATTTAGCAACAAATATACTATTTTAGAATCTGTTTCTATATTTGTTTGCATTTGTGTAACAGACTGTACTCTTAAACATCCTGAGAAGTGGATTTTATTATGCTTTTCTTCCTTTCGCTTTAAGGCTATTTACAGGGTCAGACATTCTCCTTTGCTGTTGGCTGTACCTGTGGAGTTGAGTATCAGGGCAAAACCCTCCAGTCTCTTTTATTTCAGCCTCAGGGGTTTCTATTAAAATGTAAGCATAATACATTATTTATTACCTATGACACTGAGAAAGTGAAGGTTAGAGGCTTCCCTGCTTCTTGTATGAAGCATCTTTGAAAAAGGCAGGGAGTGGCTGGTGTCTCCATTGTTACTGCTGCAGCACTGACTTATCCAAAGTGTGGATATGCACTGTAACAAAATATCTCAAAGCCTATACTGTTTCTTTTTGTAATAAGTTATCTTACATAAGAGCTTTCCTGTCAGAGATGATGGATTTATGGGTGAAAACATTGGGTATGACATTTGAAGTAGCTTTCAAGTTTCTTCCTAGCTCTCATCCATTTCAGTGTACACAGAACCATTTTCAGGAGCTGGATTATGCCCTGTGCTGCCCTGTTCTGGATGCTTAAAAAAGTGTTCTGCTGTGGATCTTGGCAATTTCCTGCAAGATCAGACCTTGTTGTAGACAGTATTTGTGTGTGCAATTGTTTTTAGTATTTGATGCCTTTTACTTTTTGATTTCAGAAAGGAGTGTATAATTTTCAATTTTACAGTTGAGAAATTAGAAGTTAAATAGCAAATGCATTGTTATTTTTCTTTATTCTTGGAATTGACTGCGGTCATATAACTGCACTGAGATTTGAAATCTTTGGGCTGTCCTTTCAGAGACATGATACGATTTATGTTTTGGCGTTTTTTCTTTTCTAAAGTGGACGTTGTTTCTGTCCCAGTGCATCCAGGACCAGTAGATGTTCAGTGAATACTGTAAACCTCTTTTAGTGAAGCAGAGCAATGAAGTAGATAATGGGAGGTGAGGGGAGGGAAGGAGAAGATTAAAACAGTAAAAGCAGTACATTGCACAGTGGTAATAATTTACGTTGCTGAGTTTAATTCAGGCTTCATCCACGTGGGAACTCTACACATGACAGGTTTTAGAATAACTTGCAAAAGTCCCGTTTATTAAATAAAAATAAGCAAGGGGCTTAGGGTGAAATGTTTTGAGTTATGTTTCTGGAAAGAAAAGTAAGCAATTTAGGCTATTTAAAATCAGCAACTCATCACTTTTTGACAATGAAAGGTGTCAGAAACTTTGTAAGGGCAGATATGCATGTGGCTTTAGCTACTGAGTCATGTGTATTTATAAGCTTTAACAGGATTAGTTTCATTCAAGCTCATGGAAGCTGGTCATACAATCGTTTCCAGCACTTCTGTTTACAGTACAACAGAATATATTTCCAGCTCTTTGCATCAGAGATCCCTCTCAAACGAGTCCTGATAATTTTAAAAGCTTTGTCAAAATACTCTTTCTGAAAAAGAGAATGGTAAAGAGACAAGCTGTGTTTTTCT